GGCCAACCCATAAGAAAAAATGGGTGCCAGAAGCTGAGGGTGACCCCAGCACAGGCAGTGTTGCACCAACCACGGCACAGAACCATAGTACCTGGGTGAGGTGGTGACAGCAACGAGTTCTCCCAAGAGTCCCAGTGACTCTGAAAGATCTCAACCTCTGAAAAGTCAGCATCTCCTCCAGCTGATGATCCTTGTATCGTTGTTTCATAATGTTTGATAACACTCCTGGTGCATCTGACAAAGATTAGATATGTTATTTTACCACTTTATTTATTAGATCACTTATTGATTTGATATGCTAAATTTTCATATAAAATTGTGTGAAAAATAGAGACATGACAAAATAAAAAACAAAATGAAATGCAACATGGTTGGGTTCAGTTGCAAAACTAGACAGGTAATAAAAAAGTACTTGATTCCTGTAGGTAAAAGAAACTTTTTTTTCCTTGTTGAAAGAGCTTTGCTCCTTCTTCCCTGAGCAGGGAAAGAAAACGATGTTCAGACCCACAATGTACTGTTCAAAGTTGAATGTACCGATAACAGTACACAAAGCCATCCAACAAAGAAAAAAGATCTGCTTTGTTCGTTTCCCATAGTGTAGATGTGTAGGAATGTGTAGAAATTAACCGAATCTTCAGTTTCCCTTTTGCTTCCCTTTAACGTTGACAACTCTACAATAGCCATAGGTGGCTGCCTTATTGATTGATTACTCCATATGTAATTACGTGTACATGTTCTCTTAATGTTTATATTTTATTTCTCTATTCTACACACTTCAGGCTTAGAATATAATTCTTCTTTCACCATATATGACAAATGACACTGGCCTGGCTCTTCGATCCTTTTCTCCTACTAACACTACTAAACACATCTTAATAAAGGCTCAGAAGATCTCGAACACACATACTATGTTAGGTTTCATAATACGTTCTGTATTTTAATACTCAAAAAGAAAATCTATGAAATAAATACAATCTTAATTACCTATCGGTAACTTATGTGCTCAGGATCTTCCTAGCAATTCTCTTCATCATTTGTTGTAGCTGGTCTTGGTCAAGATATCACAGTTACCCTTCAGTTAACTCTAGGGAAAGGCAGTGATGAATCCTGTGCTGAATTTTGGTTCCCTGTCTGTTCAAACACTGTTAGTTTTCCTCCACTGTTACGCTCACTAGGACACACATCATCCTTCTACCACTGAACATAGCAGGAAGAATGACATTATTATTGAACTGCAAGAAAAAGTGAAGAACCTTACCCTTGAAAAGAAAACCTTGAAGAAAAAGGTAGATTTTTCCAGAATCGCTTGAGGAATGTACAAAACCAGCCAAATTATTTGCACTATTTACTAAGTAACATACACTTAACTGGGAAGACCATCAAGAACAGAGTCAAGAAATACTTTCAGTGATTCTAATGAATATGAGAAGCACATGCCTGAGGACGTACAGTACTCACTATGTGCAATGTCACAGAGTGTATACCAGTCCTTTAGGAGACACTTCCAGCCCAAGAGGGAACAGAGTAATTATGTGAACTGAACCTACAGCTCCTTTACTCTGCAGGCTTCACCTTTTCCAGGAAAGCTCAGGAGCTGATGTTCCTTACCTCCCACCAAGGGAGAGTCTAATAAAAAGCTTTAGTTGCTTTGTAACTTAGTCTATAGGCTTATCTCTCAGGCCAACTAGATAAAAGAAAAGCCCAAGCTAGTTGAAGATATCTGAACGTACAGACTGAAGGGCACGATACAAAGATCTGAACAGCTGGTTACATTTGATAACTGTGATTCTACAGCTAAAAGAATGTTTAAAAATGCAAACTAGAAATAGGCTCCACACAGAATGTATAAAGCATTACTTCCAGCTTCGGGTCTATCACTGATAGCCTCTTCTTAAAAATGGCTATTGCAATTGGTATTTTGTATAAGACAAAGTCTATACAAATTACCGTTGAGTCTCCAATTTCATTACCATGAACATTTAGTTACAAAGTACAAGAAAAATGTAGCAATCACAAAACAGTTGACTAACGAATAAAAACCTTTCCAAGACCAAGTTACTGAGGTGAATTCATTACTCACAATGATAAAAATCAGAGGTTGTCTGCATGTGCTGAGCACTGATAACAAGTATTACTGTGTATCGTGCCCCCTTCTCCTCTTGCTCCATATTATTCTGTGGTCATATAGAGTTTATACAATGGAGTCTGGAAGCTGATTAGGGCCCTGCAGTGCATTAATGTCCTAGCAATAAATATATAACCCAAGGGGTGCAGGCCTCCTCAGCTTGCTAGTTGAGTACTTGCTACCAGCTCCTGGCTAAACAGCTACTCGAGCTCCTTTGGGAGGGATGCATGAGTACACACAGTCAGTAAAACTATATGTCACCCTACACGTTGTTATACAAACACAGCAGAAGGACAGGGTTGCACTGAAGCGCTGCAGGGTGGCTGAACACTGCCAGCAGCAGTTAAGATCTCATTAGCCTGGTAACTTCTCTAATACAGAGATGTTTTCTGTCCTTCTTCCTCATCCACTTCAAAGGCTTATCCCTCATCAACACCACACTTATTATTATACAGACCTTCTGGAGAAGACAAACCATATAGACATGATAGCATTCAGAACTGGACCTGTTTTCTTTGCAGCAACTAGACATGCTCCCGTCTTTCAGGTCCGCAATGTCATTACAGCCAAAGAAAGTAAAGAGTGCCTTCAAGGAAATCAGAACACTAGCCAAAAAAAAAAAAAATTACCAGCGGACATTTGTCCCATTTTACTTCTGATGCGCTAAAAACACATGGGATCTCTTGGCTGAACTGTGGGAAGGTGGTTTGCATCCTTTCACCTTGGCACGTGCCATCAGTGAACAACATCCATGTCTGTGTAAGCCCCGAGCCCCTCCAGAACAAACTGTCAGCAGTTCTGAGCCGTGCCAAATTCATTGCCACTCCTGAACTCTTCCACAGGAGGAGTCCAAATTATGTAAAAGGGAATGCTGGCACCTTAAGTCACTATGCCACCAAATCTCTAACACAAGCAAACTCTCACACCTACCAATTTGTTTGATTTGCATTCGGAAATGAGAATTTCAGTTGTAATCTTGAAGCTGACCTTTCTGGCATTTCCAGCTAGGTTTCAACCAATGTGCGAGGATTAGTAGATAAACACAATGAAATGGATTTGACGAATCTTCAGCCTGGCACCACCAAAACCACAAACGCTCACGTTAAATTTTCTTGCAGAATTTAAAAATGTTGCAGATACTATTTATTCTTTATACACAGTAATTTAATGATTTAACAAAATATTTGATCTTTTACGTAGAGGTAAAACAGACTTAGAATAGTCTATTAGGGTCTGTCTTTACTAGTGTCTCAACCAAACCAAACAGATGCCAGGATTCTCCGCCTTCGTGCTTTCCTAATTTTACAGTTTAGCACCCTTCTCCTTGGTGTGACAGGCTAGACTTACGACCTCTATGTCCACAATGACGTAAAAATCTGCCAAGTAGCCAGACTATCACTGAATTAGTAGCAAAAATTAACTTACACTATAGAATAAAAATAGCCTTTTATCTTTTGGTGTCAACAACTTTGTTTCCGCTCTTCATGCGAAGTTAGGATCAAAAATCTTCTGGCTAAAATAATCTCCATGCTTTAAGCTGTATATATTGCAAAACCATCACCCCAACCAAAGTGTTACAAAAAGTCTGAAACTGGGCAAATTTGAACTAGGCCAAAGGGAGCTCTGAAGTTCCTTTCCTGTTGCCATCATAGGGAACATGTGGAATTCATAAATCCAATTAAGTGATAGTTGGTGACAACAAATTTTCTAGATTACTAGATTTTTTCCAGTTGATTCTTTCTGTTTCTCAGAAACACATCCAATTAGTCAAGCTCATGGAACACATAATTTCCCCATATATTTCTAGTAGATTTCTGGTAGATCTCCAGAGAGGTAGCCCTCTCTGGCAGAAACACATCCAATTAGTCAAGCTCATGGAACGCATAATTTCCCCATATATTTCTATCAGGTAGATCTCCAGAGAGGTAGCCCTCTCTGTTTTTTTCAGATAAAAGAAGGAACCCGTGTGTCTTTGAGACAATTTTGCTGCAGTAAGATAACTAAAACTCCTTCTTGGAAAAAAAAATTACCAACTGGGAAAGCACTGACCTTCAAAGAACCCCCACAATTCAGGCGAAAATCTAGCAGATCTCATAAAGAGCCCCCGCGAACACTGTTTTGTCTCCTGTACTACCACCCGGTCAGAAGCAGCCGGCAGGACTCCCAGGGCTGAGGCTTGTGATAGGAGTACTTTCTGCCCCCATTAATTTCAAATAAATTGATCCCCCAGAGTTATAATGAGTGATGAGAGAGAATAACACCACCTTGATAGGTCCAAGTGGGAGATCCTCACTGGAATCATTAGTAACTGCCACATATAGTAACTGTTCATCATTTTGACAAGTACTATAGAAATTGTCAGAATTCCATTTCCATAGAATTATTTCTCTAAACTACAAAAAGTAATGAAGAGAGAATCCTTGACACAATTCTCTTGGAGGTATAGTATTTATTATCTCTTCTGATTTCAGCAGGCACTACAAAATATAGAAGGGTATGAAATCACCAACTATTAGAAGAAAATTTTACAGCTTTTGACACTTTCTGAAAAGCAGAAAAATTGGTCTTATCTGTGAGCCCATGAAAAGTCCTGGCAAAAACAACAAGACCTAACTTTTCAGTGTGCACTGGATTAGGGGGGTTATTCATCAAAACTATTGCATTGACCTGAACACGAAGAGAATTGGAAATTACTGCAGTTCTTGGCATATGGTGGCACTGCGAGGTATGGATAGCTATAGCAAAGTCCAGAGAAAAACAACGGAGCAAAAAAAAAAAACCAAAACATTTTGCTAGTATGTAAAATTTCAGGAAAACTCAGGGAACAAGTAGAAAAGTGAACCACCTGGTTTTACCAACAAAATTTCCCTCAACATTACAAATAAGATCCCTGTCCTAGTCAGAAGATATTTCAGCCGGCTTTTTCCTGCGATGTCCCAGTACGCCATCCAGAACTGAGACACAGGAAGCAGACAACAGGTTAGGACTGTATGTGTGACACGGCTCCTAGAAAAGCTTTGCTGAATCCATCTCTCATAGAAGCCACTGAGTAAGTGCGGAAGAGGCAGTCCAATAGATTCTTAAACGCTTTGCCATGCCAAAAGCAAGTATTAATGCAGAAATATTAAGTCTCACTTATGTATGTACATAAACAACTATTTGCCTTTTGCTGACATCTTAGAAAAAGAAACACACACCTAGGAGAATCATTTAAGAAGTTCAACATGGAAACTGGAAACACAAGGTAAACTTTATTTGTAGTCCACAGACTTTAAGAATGCTCACCCTTTTTGTAATACTTGTTATTAGGAAAAACGCCTTCTGTTTCACAGCAGTTTTACCTGTCATTTCTAACTGAAAAGCTTTTTTAAATGCAAGTTTACAATGCTTGCACATAACCGTGACCACATGCAGAATTCCCATGGGCAATGTGAACTCCTAGTGAACACCAGCCTTCTCAGAATTATCGTCCGACATAAGAGATATCAAATCTAAAAGTTACAATAATGGCAATTACCGTCAACATGTATTTTGTTATGTCTGTGCAAAAAAAAAAATAAAATCTCTGCAGCTTGCTCCAGTTATTCATACGGTCCTTCCTTTCAGATTTTAAGGTGTTTAATAGGGGTAGAATACTTAGCACAGAAGAACTGCAGCCTAATGGGCTTTCAGGCACAGCTGTAATATCTGCAGTCAGTCTGGGCTCAGTGTTTTGCTAAAGCTAGTCAAGGTATCTCAATTGTTTTCACACACAATTAACACATTTCTCTGCCCCCACCACATGCAAGCTCAGTAAGAGCACCACACAGGTTAATTAATTAGTAAGATCAGTTAGGATCAATTAACTCAGATGGAAAACCATCACATAAAGTATGTAGCCACTGCTTCGAAGACACAGAATGTTTCAGATCCTACAGTGCTAAATAGAAAACCTCGTATAGCGTTGCCAGTACTGGCTCTTTTTATTTCTCCCAGGAAAAAAAAAAAAAAAATTTGGCTGCTTTCCCCCCTGCAAAAACCAAAACACCCACAAAGCAACCAAACCATGACTAGGCAAAGTCAAACATATTTGGCCAAAAATTACGTTCAACAAATCTAAGGACCTTTGCAGAAAAAGTAATATTACAGCATTGGGTGGCTATTATCCGTCTAGAAATACTTTTTCAGTAGCAGTGGATGTCCTTCAGTTTTCATAATCGAGCTTCATCTTTAGTCGATACTTAACAGCATTTCAGTAACATTTTCAGCATGTTAAAAACACGATTAACATAAAACTTAGCTAGAAACCGGAGCCCTTCGCCTCGGTGTCTTCGCCGAAAACTTAGCTAGAAAGGTAGCTTTTGGTATTTTTTTTTTTTGCGCAATTTGCAGATTCAAAATCAAATGAATGAAAATAATGAGGAAAATGAAAGACAAAAGACTCAAGACAACATTTACCATTGCCATCGCAGCAAGCTGCATACGCACAAATGGCAAAGTTACCAAAAAGTATGGAATGTGACTTCACGTACTCACGTTTCATTGTACCCTCTACGCAAATCGCTGAATTAGCTGGGGGAGAGAAGAGAAAGCCTGGGGGCTGGTTTTGGCCTTGGTATTTTCACTCTGTGTTTTGTAGGACTGGGGAAGGCTTTCCTTCTTAACATGCCTTACGCTTCATTTAACAAAAGATCCACTGCGATAAAGGGAACGTATCGCTTTCATATGCATTGCTGATCGCACTCTGGGAAACCCCTTCAATTAAACCATCAAATACACGGCTCAAAAGCAGTTATTCTAAAGCAATGCGAAATCGGGAGATTTTGACGGCACCTCTGTTTCAGTAACACGCTTTATCCTTGCCCCTTCCAGGGGCATGTTAGTGCACTCTGAGGGGGGAAAAAAAAAAAAAAAAAAAATAAAATCGTCACCCGTTGAATT